AAATGGATAAATAAAATGTGATATACACATCCAATGAAATATTATTCAGCCATAAAGAGAAATGAAGTTCTGATACATGCTATGATTTGGATGAATCTTGAAAACATTAGGTGGAGTGAAATAAGTTAGACACAAAAGAACAAATACTGCATAATCCCACTTACATAATATATCAAGAATAGGCAAATGCATGGAGGCCAAAGTTCATTAGTGATTACAAGGGGTAGGTTGAAGGATGAAGCGGGTGAGTATTTCTTGAGGAGTACAGAGTTTCTGTTAAGGGTAATTAAAAAAAAAATAGGAAACGGCTAATGGTGATTTTACACAAAATGCTGAATGTAATTTATGTCACTAAATTGTATGGCAAAAATGATTGAAGTGTTTTGTTACATATATTTCACCACAGTAAGAATTTTTTTAAAAAATCTTTCTAAAGTAGCCCAATGTCAATTCATTCTATCGCATTAACCATTTTATTATTTTTATTATTACCCATTTATTGTTTTCATAGCTTACTATTCCGTGCAGTTATTGTGCTTGTGTATTTGTCTGTTTTGTTTTGCCCTCTAAGAACATACGCTCCATGTTAGCAAAGACTTGCCTGTCTTGTTGACTACAATCCCCCTAGTGCATGGGACTTTGACTGGCATAGAGCAAGTACTCAATAAGTATTTGTTGCATGAATGAATGAAAGAATGAATGTGAATGTGGACAAACTGTCAGTTTAAAATTAAGACACTGCTTCATTAAGGCCAGGCATGATCCAATTATATTTTTAAACATCTAGGTAGACTAGAAAGGTGATGGTTATGATGTGGTGATGATGAAGGTGATGATGATGATGACAGAAAACACAGTGTTGGTACTTATCAAAATGCTTTACACATCTCAATTCACAACAACCCTATGATGTAGGTATTATTATTATTCCTATTTTTCAGAGGCTTCAAGTTTACACAGCTAGTAAGTGATAGAACCAGGAACCCAGGCAGTCTGATCTGGCCTAGATATCTACATGGGAAAAGACAAAAGACCCTGCTATTGATAGCTAATACTTCCCGCATTGAGTCAACCCTACAAAAATGACTGATAATACAATAGCAAAAAAGCATCCACCGGAATGTGAGATCCAGATAGGTAGGGACTGGTAAAAATCAGTACTAGCAAATGTCTGACTTGTACAGACTAACAGAAAGCACCAAAACTGCTTTAAGATTACAATACTTCAGTAAAACAAATGATTGGTACAGTACTTAAAAAATAGAAAAAGAAAAAAGATGCTCAGCCCACAGGTCCACATACAAGAAAAATTAGTTTACAGATCCTTTGTTCCCCCTTTGCCTTCCTTTCTCTCTGTTAAAGACTCAGTTTATATTGGAAAGACCTAAGAGTAGAACTCAACAGAGATAACAAGGAATTTACCAACGATCAACTTTGTTACCACTAATAGAAAACATTTTACGGCAGGTTAAAAAAACAGTAAGTAAACCCATAGGGAACCTCCCAGGTTCTCAAAAACCTACATCTTGCACTCTGTAACGCATGTTTTTACCCCAAGGACGACTGTTCATATAGAGCCATACATCATAAAAAATCACTTGAGAAGGTCGTGAGGCCCAGTGGTATACAGCCATGTGCTTTGGGCACGTGACGTTATTTTATTTTGGAGGAATAATAAAGAAGAGAAATTGGCAAATTGCATTACAAAAGCCGCCTACTCATAGTCCCACAAATTAAGATTCACCTGTGATAACTATATATGTCTGCCCCTTAGAGACCATTCATTTAACATTAGGTTCTTTAATTAGGTAACCAGTTGACGTGAGTTTTATGAACGGCAGCTTTGATTCGGGGAAGATGGAAAGACCGTGGCATGAGACATCCCTCAGGGTGCCATCAGTATGTGGAGAACAGGAACTGCTTGTCCACCAATGTTCATTGCAGCATTATTTACAATAGCCAAAAGGTAGGAACAACTCAAGTGTCTATCAGCAGACAAATGGATAAATAAAATGTGATATACACATCCAATGAAATATTATTCAGCCATAAAGAGAAATGAAGTTCTGATACATGCTATGATTTGGATGAA